CTGCGGTGTGTGAGTCTGCTTTGGGGTCCTGTTACCTGAACACTCCGTGTTCTGTGACATGACCTATCCATCCTCATCTTTACAGTTTCACTCATCACCTTCCCTCTGGTCCTTTGTCTTTCTCCTTTCCTCCCTCCCATTTACTCGCTCCAACACGTTCCCTTCCTTTGAGTTTTTGTGCTCCTTCTGCTCATCATATTCCCCATTCGCTTTGTTCTGTATCTTATCCTCCTCCTAAACTCGGTCCGATTGAAACCATTCAGGCATCAAATCCCAATAGCCACTTCTGCCACAGAATCAGTGCAAACAAACAGCTGCTGCCAGTATCAGTGCACAATTATTGTCTCAGGATGTGTAATTCTGCATGGAGTTTGGTTTTGCAGTATTTATATGGTCAAAACAAAACCATGTTGAGTCAAAGTGTGTCCAACTGCACTTCACAAAACATGACATTTTTGACTGACCAGAAACATACAGCCTGGTGTCTTGGAAAAATCTAACAACTGAGGTTTATGAAATAATTCAGAATTATAAATGGCAAAATGAATAAATGAGCCTAATCTGAGACCAGCTGTTCCTTGACAGCAGATCACAAGTCAGTATTAGATCACCACTGCAAGTGGCTCTATTTGACTCACAACGATGTGTCGAGTTGATAAGGTGACCAATTAACACTCACCCTGTCAGCTTCGCACCCAGGGGACCCTGCCTTGATAAGAGGCCAGAAGAAAAAAAACACAAAAACATAAAAAAAGACCACAGAGATAGAGATAGATTCAACTAATTTTCTTCTTGCTGCTCTGTTTTTAACTCTATTGGCATTTGTACATGAATTTGGTGGGCTGTTTCCATTTCTGACTTTGATTGAGGTTAGCTGGCTGACAGACTGAGAAATAAACCCACATACACACACTCAGATATATAATCAGACATTGACAGGTCCATACACCAGCGTGCCCACACTCAGGGCACATACACGAACACCTGTTTAGTGCATGCACACACACACATACACACACAAATTGCTCGACTTCAGTGTGAATGCTGCTCTTCAGCGCCCACACAGCCAAGTCGTCATTATGGCCCTCTGAAACCCAACCCTGGAGATAATGACAGCCCAGGAGGGAGATTACCCCCCTCCTCCCCACACAGGCATCTACACTGTACGCCCACATCCACACTACAGACACAGAGATGAGTGGAAATAAAGGGAAACACTTACATAGACAGCACAGAAGGGCTTAATACTGTTGCACCGTCGCACATTGAACAATTTGCATTTGCGTACAGACAGAAAAACACCAAAGAATACATTCACAGTGACACTCGGGCACTTCTCCACAATAAATGAGTTCACATCCAGGCACAAAAAAAGTACGGTTTTAGTATCTGGCTTTTGTCTCCCCCCAGTCCTTTGCAAATCTAAAACACGACTACAACAAAGCAGGTTCCAGTAAACATGAGCAAGTTGAGCAATCTCATCTAAATTATGCCAATAAAAGTGAGTAGCAATAACTCTACATGCATGTGACAACACGTCTAACCAAAAAGCCATTTTTGTGGATTAAAACTCTAAGAATGGTTTGCAAGATAGTAATCACTGTAGAAGATAACACAAAAACAAAACAGATTACTAATATGTTTTGTTTTTGGCAATAAGGCCATGAGCACTGAATGGCCTTATCGCCATTATTTTATTAATATTTCATTCACTTTGCAACAAACTGCCCCCTCCCCTTTTATGTGCTTCTGATAACCCGGTGCCTTGGTGGACTCCCTTAGTGATGTATCTATATTTGTTGCGTTATCTCTGCATCCCACTGCCTTTAACTCTAACAGCACATCATGACAAATGAAAGAAAAACAGATACAGAAGGTCATCAGGACAGCAAGGTGCTGATTCCTCCCTCTGGGAGGTAATTTGTTTCCAGGCTTCAGACTTCACAAAGGTTCAGCACAGGAAATAGTCAACATCTCAACCCATGAGCATGCAGAAGATCATCAAGCTAGAAAAAGCATGTCCCCAAGGCCCAGTGACATCATCTGTTTGAATTTCCACTCCAGAGATCAGAAAATAGGGATTACTCTGCACTGGCATAAGACAGTATCAATAGCAGTGTACTTTTTGGTGCTTTTCCTATTGGTTTCCTGTGTATATGTACACGTGTATCTATGTACTTTACAGCTGTTGTTTGGATTTGGTTATCCTCTGTTTTTCCTGGCAGGATTTGTGAATTACGTGGCTCTGTGAAAACACCAAGAATGTGCATGCATATGTACACACACACACACACACACACTAAGGCATACATGTGCTGGTAGCTAAGCAACAAGCTCTAATTACCTTCTGCAATTCAATAATGTTCAGCAAAACATTCATTTGCAGGGGAACAGTCTTAAGATCCATGACACAGCACCAATACGGGAAAAAAGATAAGAGATATGTTATCTAATGACTATATTGCCATGTATATTTTCCATGTATTTCCATTGTTAAACATACAGCGAGATATATTATACACAAGTTGTGCATTATCTCACTTTCACTCAAACGACTTGTTTGTGAACATTAAATGGCTAATGCGGTAAGGGAAACCTCTGCGCACTCTGGGAAAGCACACAGGAACAATAAACATGTATGCGTGTAGTGGAGGGTGGGTTGTGGGGGTGGGGTGGGGATTGTGTATTTTTCTGCTGCTCTAAATGTTATCTGTAGACACATGCCTTGCATTTCTCTCTAAAAACATAGTGATGGTGTTTAACTGATAGGATCCCCAGTGACACTAGGCAGATGAACAAAGAAATAAAATGATAGGTAGTGGTATACCAAAGCATTTGCAAGTTATCTATTCCAATTCATTAATTAAGACTTGGTCTGGCTCATTGTGAGCAAACGTCAGTTATTGAAATCTTATAAACCTCAGAAATCAAACAGTACTGACAAAAAACCAAAAAAAAAACCACATTGTAACTTTACTTCACTTAAATAGCAGCTCAGACTCTCTAGTGACAAACTGTCCAAGTCTTTGGATAAACATCTATCTTTTTACTTTGAACCAGAGCATAATGTAAGTGAGGAGGAAAATATAATGGGCATTACTCAAAATGAAGTGTTAATCAAAATCAGTATCTGTGCAGCAACTGCCCCTCTACATTGATAGGGAGTTTGTTTTCTGTCAGCAGTTGTTATGCTGTGATTACACCAAGCAAAGCAAAGTTTCTTTGTGGCCAGATTGCAGACAGAGTTTATGCAGCAAAGCAAATTGATATACAAATCGAGGGAAATCAGCATTTTGCAGGAATTACAATATTTTAACTTTGGAAGAAAAATTGCTTCTCAGTATGTCCCTTAGAGCTGGGGTCATCCTGATGCCGACAATGAGAAATTGAAAACTAATTTATTGACTGTGTTTGTGGGCAGCTGGAGCTGTCTGATTCAACTGTCTGATTCAACTGCACTTCTAGACAAAGATAGGGAGAAAAAGAGTGGGCTTGGAGAGAAGTGAGTGAAATTATAGGACTTAATGGTAAGTTCTGAAAAAATGTTTCTGATTTAAGCAATCAGTTGTACTCCTCCTCCTCTGCCTTTTGTTGGATGTTAGGGGTGCAAATTTTTTATTATGCGAATACACCATGAGAGGTCATGTTCACCCACGTAAACACTGTTCATAATTGCGGGCTAGATGTGATTGCCACCTTCAGCTCCATCTGATTTGTCCAGGCAACTGCAGTATCAACTGGCAGAATGTCAGATACCTCCAGATACCGCAAGGGTCATGCCATTTAGTGTGTTTTCAGATACAGCATCTGCTGTAGCCTAGCAAAAAAAGCTTCTTAAGTCCCCTGTCATTCCTGTTTCTTTAAGCGATTTTCACTCATTGTCTGAGAGTGTTTGGACACCTTGTGAGATAACATTGTAGGCAAAGCATCTGGTTTTAGTCTTTGCTTATAACCATCAGTATTCATAAGTCTTTTTCTCAAACTCAAATGGATCAAATGCAACAGAACAAAATACTGAGAACACAACCACATGTTGTTTGGAAGCTTCAGTGGTTCTGCTCCTTTTTCCTGTTGTTTTTAACAGGAAAGCTGTGAAAACTAGAAAACTAATATCACGTCCCTTCTCAACTACGAAATACAACAAAGCAGTGTGTGTGTGTGTGTGTGTGTGTGTGGGGGGGGGGGGGGGGGGGGGGGGGGGGGGTCGTCTCCATACTTCTTCATAGTGTGGAACGGGGAACTGGATTAGGAACTGGATTCACCTACAGCAGGAACACAGCTTCAACATCACTGAGCCGCAGTGCGTTGAGGATAAAAAGTTATGGAAGCCTTCATATAAAGTCCCACAAATCGAAATAGTGAAAGTTCATTTTAACACACAAATCTCTGACAAATCAAAAGTAAGACCACCATACAAAGCTTTGGCTGCCAGTTTCCTCTTTGCAAGCCACTATACAACGGACTGCTGATCCTTTAGTGAGATGCCTTCATTTCAGCACCATGGAGAGCTCCACAGCACTCAGCCATGCCTGAGGCTAATTTTTCCCCTCTTGGGTAGCAAACAGCATCTGTTGGTGTGCCTCTCCAACCGCAGCGATAACTGTACTCCCAAACACTACAGCACTCTGGTGACTGTAGCGCCAGTCAAGGGTAAATATATATATATATATAATTATTATTTTTTTAATTTATTTATTTATATACTTAATCCAGCTATACCCTGAAAAACACAAATCTCGTTACAGCTGTTACAAGTACAATTTTCAGCTAATTCTATTTTATGTGATTTTCTTATTTCAGTAGAATTCTGGCCAAAATAGTATCAGTTTGCTCAATTTATTGTCATTTACTCTAGGAGAGACTTCTTCTTATTAAAGACTGCAAGATTTCAGATTCTCTGTTGTTGTTATTGTACAAAAAAGATCCACAAAGCGCACATCCTGCCTGGGCAGTCTCTCACATGTCACACACACAAACTTAAAGAGAGCTTTTCATGCTACCTGTCATCATTCTGAAATGTCTGGTCCCCCAGCAGCAAGTCCCTGAATCGGTAACGAGGTGGGAGCGGAGGCACCCCTGAATCCACATCGGCCATCTTGAGAGCTGAGATGTCCAGAATAACACCAGAGTTGCTGCTGTTGTTTTTCTGCACGGTCTCAGTGGATGGCCTGCATGACGAGAAAGAGAGCAGTGACATTGTTAATATAGACGCTGGCTCTAATTGAAAAAGCATATTACAAAGGTTTAAAAAAATATATGAGGAAAGTTATGGTTGTATAATGCACTTGTCTGCAATCACAAAGGTGGTTGCTCGGGGGAACAATGACAAACATTTTACTGTAATGCTCACATGCCAATTTATTCACATGGGACAAAAAGGAAACCACAGCAAACAGAAAAGGCCCATTATCCATTCCATGAAATCCCAAGTAAACACGACATGCATTTATGAGGATGACACACTGAGCACAACTGATAATGACAATGAAGATTCTTGACCAGCTATTAAGCTCTTGTGCCTACAGTCCAGTGCTGCTAACACAGCTGAGAAAACAGCTTAAGAAGAAATGGTTTGCAATGGGCACACAGACCCTATTTTAAGCCTAAATCCTGACATGGATAATAATCTAAACCCTGTAACTTGATGCAACTGACTTATTTCACAAACATCTTGTATTATGTATTATTGTATTAAAGGAAACATACAAACATGCATACATGCATTATTCAAAAAGAAAAAAAAAAAGGCCCACCAGAGGAGGAAGGGAACAACATATGAATATGCAACCTATTTACATTTTACAATATACATTATTGCTGCAGCTGCGACATTATTGGTCCATCCCCAATAAACATTTCCCTGGTCACATAAAACGACGGGCGAATTAAAAACTACTGCAACCAGAATGTCAACAGTTCAAATCCAGACATTAAAAATGAAGCCAGAAGGATGATGGTTTGTTGCAACAATTGCTGAGAAGTGTATATTACACTTAGTGTAATATTACATGACACCATTACCTTGACTAATACTATTTCACATCAGCGCTCTCTCACCAGCTCCACATGCAATATGTTTCAAGGAAAGGGAGGAACTAGAAGTAACTAATGCAGCTTTAAATGTCAGCACTATGCAGTAGCCTAATGACTCACACTGAGATTAAATGAGATTGGTGCAAATAAATTAGCTGAAGTAAATTGTTTTTCATTTTTCATTTTTCTCTTGCACCTATTGTCATTTATTATTTTACTTTTTAAAACAAACTGCTATTTTTTTTTATTTATTTATGGCAACTAACAGGTGGATGCAAGCTGTAGTCAGCACTTCTCTCCAAGGCTTCTGCTCTGCTAATTCAAGTCATGGACTAGAGCTCAAGGTTATTGTGGTTGTGGTGGTACTTTATGCTTTATGTAATAAATTGTCTAGTTTTCTGTTTGGCTGACTGCATTTAAATCCCATCGAATTTATGAATGTAGCCTGCAAATGAAGCAAGTCTCCATGAGCTGCTAACTCAACACTTAAAGCTCTTGCCCAAACACTTTCATTTCAAGCACCAAAATGACTCAAGGAATGCAAAGAGCAACTTGAAAATTCAGATTACATTTTGATAAGGCAATCTATGGAGCAGTAGTAGTGGAGGCACACTACACGTAAAAAACATTTCCAAAGAACAATGTGCATTTACACAAAATTAGGCAGCTGTTTTTTTCCAATATAGTGGCTAATTATTGTATGCGTTTCCACCTTGTCACACAGTAACACATGTAGAGAAGTTCTTCAGGAAGTTACCTGTCACCGTGGGAGCTCGAGGTTCGGCGTGGAGGGTTCATCACTGGCTCTTACAGGGGGTCAATGACGAATGAGAGCGAGAGAGAGAGAGAGAGAGAGAGAAAAGGGAAAAGAGAGATTAAACAACACTTATAAAAACTCTCCTCTTAAGACCTTTTGAAAGAGGTCGATCACATCCACTGCCTGTTTCACAGCTTACACGCAAAGATCAGTGAGCACTCTCAAACTTTCTGTTTTTTTTACATAGAGCAGGATTACACCAACACATTTGTGCAAGGGTACAGTTTGATATTACCGAGTTGTCCCTCTCCAACATCTCCACTCGATGGTGCTTAACTTTTTTATATTGCATCTTTTCATAAAGTGGGAAGCAGCAAGTGGGTTAATCAGCTACTATCTGCATGTGTTTATTAAAGGCACCCTAGTGTACATTTTAATCTTTGCAATAGTGAGGAGGGATTCCCTCGTCAAGATGCTGTTAGCACATTTTTTTCTGCCCATGAAGCAAAACAAACAGATGGAAGGTCATTTCAGAAACAGGACAACGACTGTTCTTAAATACATACAGTGTATGTACAATATACCAAAGCTTCATCTGTCTGGTTGAACAAGATGGGCATCCGTGTCTGCACTCGCATCATATTTTTTACATTTCCAGCTAAAAGATAAACCTACTTTTTGGTTTATTGCTAGACTGTCTACAGAGGGAAAAATAAGTGGGTAATACAGAGCTAAGTGTGTGTCTGTGGTTTTCATACTACAGTGTGGGCAATCTTGAGTGGGCTAATAGCAACCAGAGACATGATCTCCCTTATTAACAGTGAAGGCACAGTCCCCCAGAAGGGCAGACAGAGAAAAGAGAGATAGGTTATGACCGCGAGTACGGTGGAGAGGAAAGAAAGCGGAAACCAGAAACAAAAGGAGGTAGAATGCAGAAGAATAAAGAATATAGTACTCTCAATGTGTTCTTTACTTTAGGAGACATCAGAAGTTAAGAAGAACTACATGACAAGATAAAAGAGAGAGAGAACTGTACATTCAGCTGTGCAAGTAAAATTAGCACGTCCCCATACAGTATAAAAGAAAAAAAAATACAGAGCCTGTGACCTCTGAGAGCTCACTTAATGGAGGAGGCAAAGTGACCACAATAAAAGGGAAAAAGAGTCGCTTGCGGTAAGAGAGTGTTTCCTTTTAATGGAGCGAATGCCGTGGATTCAGACCAAAGAGAGCAGATGGAGCGAGGAAAAGCATGTGCAGGGAAGGCATAAAACTCGTCTTTAAATAAATAAATAAATAACAGGAACCGGGGCGAGAAGAAGACTAAAAAGAATCAAATTCGACTTACAATGGCTGTAAAAATCTGCAATCGTCTTCTTCAGAATTATGTATTTCAAAAGGTCAGATGAGACTAACTGCCTTTCAGATTTCAATGCAGAGACCAATATCTAGACATAATGCTCAGCACAGCCTGCAAGCAAAAAAAGGAAATCTGTCATTAAAACCATCATCTGTGAAACATAGTTATCAAAATTCCACATTTGAAAAAAGTTTGTTAGTGACAACAAAACTTTTAATTAGTGGAAAAATGTGGGGGGGGTTTACTTATTAAGGTGTTGGATGATTGAGCCATCAGAATTGACTCTTCAAACGTTTTTAACCTCCACGGAGAGGCAGGACACCAAGATTTCCCCAGCTGATGTTGCTATTCTAAAGCAAACTCACATTATTTTCTGACTCAATCAAGGCATTCAGTGGCCCCTATGAATGAGGGTAATAGAATCCCGGAAGAGCCCACTGAGCATCAATATAAAGCTGATAACTGTATTGATTTGCAGTGATGAACAATGGCAGAAAAATGCTCTCCACCACAGCGAATCAGCCCATCCTCACTGCAATTACCAAGGGTTCAGCTTTAATACAGATACAATTAATACAGACATACATAAAGCAGAAATGCGGTCATGATATTTTCATGACAACCAAAACATCTGCATTTACGTCCACCACAGATGTTATGGCAACACAATATAAATAACAGAGAAAATAATAATAATCTTACTTCACGGTACAGCATCTGCCACCAAAGCTTTACAATAAACTTGATGATATTCGCTGAACTTATACGCGTTAAAACACATAGGTGCATCTGTACCCTGTGATTTCCTGTTAACTTCGTTTACCTGGCTGTGCTCCCGTTTCTGGCCGAGGTCCCAGCATCTTAAACTTAGGTTTGATTTAGATAATCTCCATTCGCTCTCCATACTGCACTGCGTGTGCGACACAGGATGCTTCCCAACAACGAGTACCCGCGAAAGCTCTGTCATCACTGGAAAGTGACAATTGCAAGAGTTGTGGGGTGGAAGTTAGCTCCTGTGATCAGAGGTGGGAAGAAAAGGGATCCAACAGTGAGCTTTGGGGGTTTAGTTAAATCCCATCAACCCAAAGAAGGGTCTCCTGACGGCAAAGCGCGAAGCCTGACTTGCTAACTTCCTGCCATTACCATTATCACATGTACGCGATTATGGCACACCTGACATTAAACGTAAATATTCATGGGCGAAAAAAAAAAAGCAAACAACCGACTGACTTCCTTGTCGCTTAGCAACAACTTTGTTTGCCACTGTTGCCGAACTACATTTCGTGGCGGAAGGAGGACAGACGTTAAGTTAACGATAAACTTGCGCTTGTCTTTTTAATTAGCTCGCAGTCCCCTGTAGCCGTTGTCAGCTGCTGTTATATAACAACCCTTGCCCTCAGAATCACTCAAAGTACAGCTTCTCTTCGCTGTTGTCTCCTGCCATGTAACGTCTGCTTACGCATATGAAGTAACACATCAAGTAAGCGCGCTGTCCACCGGGTTTCCACGCTGTCCGGACAACATCATCCTCATCCTTGCTTCCCAGGACACAGCGGGTGAGGGGCGCTGATTTCCTAACCTGAAGTCACCACCGGTACCTCGCCACCTACCGGACAACCTTGGAATAATTCGTCGTCTGCCGAGGAAACTGAAGCGTTTAATGCTGACAGGAAATTTCTAATTTAAAAAGAGCTTTTAGTGAAATGAAAAAAAAAACAAAAACCTAATAATAGATTCTGCAGTTCTGCGCTGTCACGGTTATTCCCACCCCAAATCATGACAGCGCAGAATTCTTTCAAAGTTATGTTCAAGGCAAAAGACTGGCTCTTATTTATTTATTTTTAAGAAGTGGTATTTAATGGGTAGTGACAGATGTACCTATATATCCAAACACGTTCGTTTGGAGAAAAAAAGTGCATTAAAGTGCAACTATTCTTCTACTATTATATTTCCACTACCACACGATAAATTGCATGTGGGGGGAGCTTTACTCTTAGCTGCATACTGGTCAGGAAAAGACCAAAACATCACAACAGTCCCCAAAATTATTAAGTTATTTGTTGATCCTTATAATTATCAATATCCAGCAACATTTTATGGAGCATATACACAGCACGTGTAGAGTCTTGGCAACTTACACTTGCAATATCTTCCTACAACACACAGGGAAAAATTACATACATAAATGTATATATGTATTTCTGTTAAACCATACCTGCAACAGCTGCTCTGTCCTCTGCTATTTGCCTCACAACTGTCCCCCTCACATTGAAGAAAATATTCATTCTGTGTGCACAGTGGCACGACTGGGGAGACACCGCTGGTTCCTGTGTGTCTGTGGAAAAGCCGCGCTACTCTGTGCGCGTTCCTTGTGCTGAGCCTCTCCACATTTCAGCCCATTATTCTCCAGGGGAAAGAGCTCTGAGCGTCATCGTTTTAAAGCCCACACAGCCTCTTATGCTTTCCCATGCCAGCAGTCAGATCTCACTCACTCACTCACTAGTCTCGCTAAGGATCTTGATTCCCACAGATTTTCTTCTCCACTTGATTTGTCTGATTTTGTTGGTTTACACTGCAGCAGGCGCTTACCCTTCCTATCAGTGGATGTTTACACAAGCTTAGTGATTAAATATGGTGAAGCACTTTATTTACAGTCACTGCTGTGGGTCATTTACAGTCATTTCCCGCATACTTTGAACAGACTGAGCCACATGATTAACGTCTACATAAATTTCAAAGATGTCTCCAGCTTATTGAAATAACTCAGAAAGGAGCTGTGATTGGTTACTTTTAACACACTTCACATGAACCATGCCTCATTGTAAGACTAACAACATGCGCTTGCTATGTTTTTACCTCCAAATCCGTGCCTTAGCCATGATTTAGCCATGACTAATACCTGTTACTCCACATTAATATTTAATTAGCAAGCTCATGAGTTAAAAGGAAATCATCTTAAATGGTGCTATCCCTTGAAACACTGATTCACTTTGTCATATTATGAGCATTTTTGTGATTGTCTCATTTTTACTCGATTGTTTTTTCTTTTTCAGAATTGCATAAAATCTACATTTTAAGTCTGTCAATCCAAAAGTTAACCTATTCTTGAAATCTGCTTTCTACAGTTTCATCTGTTTATAATTTCTAGACAACAGACATAAAAGATCAAAACTGGGCAGCATGTGATGTGCTTTAATTTTAGTTAGCTTTCACCATGTACTAATGCAGGTATGTCTCATTTTGTAGCGAACTCCTCCATTATTCATTTATTCTACTGCCTTTACTTGAACCATATTGCAATGTGTCCCTGAGCCTACATCCATTAGGCTATTTTTCTCGAACACTTCTGTCCTGCTCATATAATATGAGTATTGTTGAGTCTCAGCACAGCGCAGCCACTCTCCCACCTGGATGCTCACTCTTCATGCTTCCAAAGTGTCTAAAAACAGATGGAAAGGGAAAAATGCTCAGACAGTGAAGCACCCAGATTCAGCTTGCAGCCTGAAGGCATATATAATATATAGGAGCCATACATGAGCACAGTGCATGAATCACAAAGAGACTATCTATCTATCGTCTCGCTTATAATATTTTCATCCTGCATACACTTTCTTTAACATTAATCGATGTAATGTTACATTGAATTTTAACTAATTTTGGAAGAGACATCTCTCCTCTTTTTTGTGTCTTGATTTTTACCAAAGTAAGAGTCTGTATTTTCCCCTTTAACACCATTATCTGAACCTGCCACATCCAGTGTAATTACATTTACTAAACATAAATGATTCGAACAATCCAATTAAACATAAAATTATTTTGATTAGTTAATCCTTCTCCCATATTACCAACACAGTAAACAATAATCCTTCGGGAAAATATTAATATAATATATTGTATCAATATATCTTATTCAACATACTTGATGTTTTCTGCTAATGCATTCATGGCCTGCTGTGCCCTTCATGATGTTTTAATGTAAATACATTTCCTCTTTATAGCTCTCTACTACTAATTGATGTCATTGAATAGTGATTCCGTTCATAGCTTGTTTACATTATGGCTTTCGTGTTTCCTGCAAATGTAATTAACAGGGAATCAAAACAAAATTATGTCAGGGCTTATGGCATCATTTGAGGCTTGTAGCAATCATTTTGTATTAGTTTTGTCACAAATTCAGTTCTCCTCTTACCTCCATGTGTTGTTTGGCTGTAAACTTCTGTTGTTTTCAGATGGGTGAAACCATCAGATCCTCCTACAGCCAGCAGTGCACCATTGAAGACTACAAGAGATATCTGATAATACATAAGTAGGATAGAGACAGACATATATATACTTTATTGATCCCAGGATTTCAGATTATGTTACAAAGAACCAAGTCTTTGTTTCAGTGCTGAAAACTATTCCAAGTGTTTTCTTGAAGTATCCTCATTTATCTTATACGGCGCCTAGATGCAGTTCATAGCTCATCCACTGTGGGAAACAAGCCATTTTATTCTCTCTCTCTTTAAGTTCACCCCTTTCATGCAAACCTTCTCCCAAATGATTACCTGTCACATACAGAAGGTTTAAACAAGATGTTGGTAGGATTGCTGTCAAAACCAGACCAGCGTGACTGTCTGATTATGGACATCTGATCTCACTGATATCATACAGAGTCAAGAGTAGAAAAAACTTTCTGAAACTCAAAGTCCAATGTTTGAAATTGTGTCACTAAGGTGCTATTCTCATCAAAAGTAAATAATCTCAACAGTTACTGGAAAGATTTAGCATTTATTTACACTCACATTACACTTCTGGATTAGTCTTTTTCTTTTGCCTTTAGAACTGCTTCAGGTTTTTGTGGCATAGATTCCACAAGGTGTTGGAAACATTACTCAGATGTCTTCGTCCATGTTGACATACCCATCTTCTGATGGCTGCTTCTAGCAGGATAACTCACTATGTCACAAAACTCAAATTATTTCAAACTACCTTCTTCAACATGACAACGATTCACAACTGATTTCACAATGATTTCACAACTGGCCCCCACAGTCACCAGATCTCAATCCAACAGAGGACTTTTTGGGATGTGGTGGAACAGATTTGTAGTGCAGCTGACACATCTGCAGCAACTACGTGATGCTGGTACACTGTGGTCATAAAGGGATAGACATGGTCAGTAACAATAGTTAGGCAGGCTATGATGTTTAAATATTGCTCAGGTGGTACTAAGGGATCCAAAGTGTGCCAAAAAAATGGTTTTCTATATATTTATTTATAAGGCTATCATATTTATTACTTTGCATATTTTCATTTTAAAAAGTGGTTTGTTGACTTATTGCTTCCTTCCTGTCAGCTGGAGGCAGTTTGGCCATTCTCCCTCTGGGAACAATTAGGCATTTGCACTCAGAGAACTGCCACTTACTGGATATTTTCTCTTTTTCAGGCTACTCTCTGTAAACCCTAGAGATGTTTGTGCGGGAAAATCCCAGTGGATCAGCAGTGGTAGCGTTGTAAGATATGGAGGGAAATACTCAGACTGTGGCACCTCAGTGTTTCTTGAGCTCATGTGGCTCAAAAGCCACGAAGTGAATGCAAAGCAAATCTTGGTGACTTTTCACAAAGTGCCACTTTAAGGTCACTTAAATCACCTCCAATCATTTTGACACTTCCCCCAAACCTCTGATTGGCCGAACAGAATTTATGTTACTCAGCAGTTGAAAATGTGTGCCTAACAAAGTGACCTGCGAGTGTGCTTTACATTTGTAAAATAAATCTTAAGAGACTTTATCTTAATAATAATTATTATCTTAATAAGACTTTTCACATTGTACCAACAGTATGACAGATGTTTCACTCAAATATGTTCAGTCAAATATTTTAGCATATAGTTGGTTTGGCTCAAATTTGATAGATACATTTATGCCCATAGTGTGAAAATGCCATCATCCAGCCAAACTAAGTTTGTGACACATAACTGCTAAGTGACACTTAGTGTTTTGTTTAGCTGCCAAAAGCTGGTTTGCCAATATATGAAACGGAGATGGTGAGCACTGAAAACATTATACTGTTATCAGTGCTGGATTTGTTTAGGATTGGTTCCTGATTTATTTTGTCAATCCCTGACCGTTCTTTCCCCATCGTCTCCTGAATCTCCTCGTCTTGTTGTGCATTTGTCTTGTTTCAATTTTGTATGATTGCTTTCCCTGCCCTGATTAGCTTCACTCATGCTCTCTTACTAAATTTTATATGTATATATTTTTTTACTTTCTTACTCATCTAGCATCCTACATTTGGGTCCTCTAACTTTATAATGAATTTATTTTAATCATCAGCACCATCACAATCCAGTGAAAGCATGCTAGAAAATGTTTTCAGTAAGAACCCTCCTCTTTATTGCAGTGTAAATTATTAAAAAAATAAAACAAAAGAAAAATCATGTGGTCCTTTCTCATTCATGTCACTCGTATTTCCTCGCTCCATATTTTCCGTTTTTATCATTCGTATGCAAATATGGCCAGAAGTGGGGTTTTTTTAGAGAGAACAGTTTATGTCTGTTGTACCGATCTACCCTCTCCCTCCTCATGTGTTTCACAGGCATCAACCTCATGGTGTCATGATTGAACCTTTGCAGCTGCATGGAGCTCCAGCTTGAGCTCATCTTTGCCCCCGGCCATGTAGAGGTGTCTCAGGTACACAGCACAACCAGCGCTCTCTCTGTGACTCAGCATGTGCGCGCATATCGACCAGGTACCATCTGCAGGGTTGTACCGCTACACTGGGGAACATTTAGAAGATAGCACAAGTGAGGGGAGGCCATGTATACTATTTAATGCACAACCACATATACCATGTGTGTAGCACTAGAGGTTGGGAGTGTTTATGTAGAAAAATGCCCAGGTTGTCATGGGAACGACTGTGTGGCAGACAGAGTGTGGACCTAGATGCAGGATCCAGGAGGCAGAAATTAACTCAAAATTCAGTTTTATTGCTGGAACTTAAGAAAAAACCAAAAGAAATATAGAGCAGCACATAAGGAAAAATAAATGAGGACCCTTGGAGGAGGTAAACAAACTGCCATGAGGGAAGGATACAACAAACAACAGAGGGAGACTCAGACAATAAATACACACCAAGTAATTAGAGAGACGGGACACACCAGGGAACACAGCTGACACTTGTTGGGAACACAAAACAAAGAAAGCAAAGCCAAACAGAGTGCACAAGAGACAAGATACTAGCAAAATAAAACAGGAAGTAACTAAACATGGCATCATTAACAGACAAAGACTTGACAGAAGGCATGGGAACACAGGGGAAGAAAGGGGAAATAGAAAAGGATAACTAAATATTACATAACCAAGAAGATGAACTAGACTGCAGGCAGGGGAAATAATAAATGCCAAAGGAAAATGTGAACTGCACTAATATACAAAAGGAGCCAATCTTAAAAACAAATGTTGAACCTGCAGAGAAACCCTAAGCCCTGGGTTTAAGACCCATAACACAGGTTTTACTCATCTACCCTACATAATAAGCTAAAAGTGTTTCCTGTAATATATGTACATTTTTCAGTTTGTAAAAAAAACATGTTGGATATTCCAAGCCAAGATTGTGTCCAAGAACTTGATGGGAACCAAAAAATAGTTGTGGGAATTGCACCGATGTGCACTTCTCACAGACAAAAATAGCTAGGAACAAGTGACCCGTGTTTATCTTTGGCAAGGTTGAAGCGGTTGCCTGTAAGTGTGTATGCATGTGTGTGTCTTGTGGTGATGTGGGATACATGGAATTAAAGGGGTCAAGATACACAATAAGTGTTTCTTAAATTCTCCTATGTCCAAAAGCAGGCAAGTTCAGTTTTTGAGGGTAGGAAGAGGTCGGGTCACAAACAGGGCACAAAATATTTTTTGTGAGTATAGCTTTCCTATAGTAACACATACTATTTTTCAGCTTTTATTTATTTATTTATTATTCTTTTAGTTTAAAAAAAATCTTCATATAAAGGCAAAGCAAAATGCTGGGTATTTGTTGCTTCCAACTGCCCAAATGTGGATGGTTGCAGGTTAGCACGGTGGGTGAAGAAAAGTCTGTCTTATGAAAGACATTTTTATTATTATTATTATGATTAGCTCACATTAATTCATAGTAAATAATTGTTAATTCAACAAGGAGAGATCATGTGGGAGAATTGAACACAATTTATTGTGTTAGAGAAATTATTAGACAGGAAACTCTATTAGCCAATTAGAGTCTGATAACCATCATCAAGGACTTAAGTGACTCCAGGGTTTGGATGCTGGTGAAGATGAAGCTGTACGCTCTGACTGAGGTGGTTAGGAAGTGAGCTGCACGAATCAGAATCTAAAAGGGAGACTAACAGAGGAGTACTGAGATTTAATGTAAGCAGATTGGATCAAACGAGGCACGTAAGAAGATGATTGGACTACAGTAATGATGTCAGTGTTGAGTTTGAGACTGTGGGTGAGTGGAAGTGACGTAAAGAATCGACTACTAGCCAAACAGCCAGGGATGAATGCAGGTGAGTGATTACAGATTTTCCTTATTGAAGTTAGGCATAATACTCGATTTCAGCCTTTTATCCTGTTGATGTAATCAGTATCTGTGAGGTTTAGGACAAAGATAGTCTTTTGCAATAGACATCGCACACCTGAGTCCTTTCACCATCACTCCCTCCCATTACATACAGGTTACCTTCCAGCACAGCAGCCACAGCTCTGGTTCTTCTTGTCAGCACCGGTACCTGCTTGGTCCATTTGTTCATTTTTGGTTCATATTTATAATAACGAAACAAAGGTTATAATTTTAGCAAGTGATCTGTCTGTCATTGATATTTTTGTGCAGCTTTGAATTCTTTGTTCCTTCCTCTGAGTCAGCCTCTTCAGCTTGTCATCAAATTAATGTGAAATGTCAGGTAAAGGAGAAAATGGTTAGATTAGTTTTAGCTACATTTATAGAATTTTTTTTCATAGCACAAACAAGTTTCATACATGGACAGTACACTAAACACATTAGAAGACTGTGTTAGGAATGGAAGATACATATTTATTTTATTTGCAAACACTAAAGTGAGACCTTTCATTTCAGTGAGAGCTCTTTAAAACAGTCTCATTTGTTTACAGTCTGCACAAAGTGGAATGACAGTTCATTTTGTAAGATATTGACCTTTAGTTTGCACTTATGCTAAAGTGCCTCTCTACAGTACTTATGAAAGTAATGCCATCATGTCCTCCAATGGCATACAGATATCTGTCCATTGCCACCAGACACACTGCACTCTGGGGGTTGTTCAAGGGTGCTACATCTGTACTCCAGCTGTCTGTGTCTGGATTGTGCCTGCCAGGATGGAAATCAAAGAGTGGGATGTCAAAGTGTTGGAGGAAGATAATATCAGCCGCTGGCAATAACATTTTGAGAAGACAGGTCACAGAGAGATGCTTTCATAGAAACTCAGCTTTTTTAAAAAAAAAAAAAAAAGTATTTGCAATCTTTGTGATTTGTGCTACTTTTAAAGTTTTTCAAGCTAACACACAAATAAAAATAGAAAACCATTCTACACTGTTCATGGGGCAGTGCGGGAATGTCACTTTTGATTAATTTCTATCCTTTAGAAGGGTCTTGCAACAGACAGAATTAGTCAAATTGCCCATTTACTACAATAGCCAAATACTGTTTTCCCCTTTATATAGCCACAATTTCATAGTAGCCTCAGTAGCATAAAATGACAATGCAAATAAGAATAGTTACCAGAGAGATACTTCAAAATGAAGATAAACTATTAGTTTAATTAGAGTAGTATACTACTCTCCAACATTAGCTTTTGCACACACACACACACACACACACGTTCGCACTGAGTGAAAACATTTTAGTTGTGTGGGCATCTGTGCAAACATCTGTCAAAGTGTTTCCTCTCCACGGGAAGGCTATTAAAATTGTTTTCTCTGTATTCAAGACTCTTAGTTGAAAACCCACATCCTACAAAACAACACTTTCTCCTAATTGGGAAAATTTTGCTTGAGTGCGACATTTGATATTCCCCTGAAATGTCAGCACAGCGATGTAAACACCCTTCAGAGATTAGGCGCAGTCGGCTAAGGGGCAAAAAAAAAAAGAAAAAAAAAAGAGCTAGCAGGATCGATGCATAGAGAGTTGATCACTCTGGAGCAGGTCTTCCCCATACTGTTGTCAAGAGCCTGCTGGGATGATTATTATTGGGTTAGTTGGCTGGCATCCATTTAAGAAATGGCTAACTGTGGGAACTGGGAAATTGGCCAGCTCCTTTGAGATATTTGAAGGAGCTGAAGAAGTAGAGCAAGAAGGAGAAACCCGTCGACTAGTGCACTGTGTGTGTGAGTGAAATAGCTTATTTTGGACCTTCTGGGCCTATGAGAAATAAATACCCCAGAAACATCAGGAGATGGAGAAAATCCTATAAAACAAGAATTTGGGGCAGTACATCGCTCACTAATAAGATTTTACAATTTCAATTTGATTTTACTGTTTTTTTAGGCACCTGCATCAAATTTCTGCCTCAATACTGACCTCTTCTGTCGAATACTATCAACAACAACAACGGCAAATAAATAAAAATCTCTCATTCTCCCATATTCCCCCATTAGTTCTAGTATACAGCATACACAGTTATGCAGTTTAAAGCAGTTGCCTTTCTTTTTATTTAATATGAAACATTGATCTACAGTTTAAGCAGTACTTTAAAATAAGTGTATGGCTAATGATGTTAAGTTTTAAGATGACCAGATTCAGGTTGGGTAAAAATAAAAACACAAGATCAATGATGTAGCAGCTTGTCTCACTCAAGATCCACCACAATTTACAGTTTATTGTAATGTGTCGTGAAGAGAATGAAAGTTATAAGGTAATAGTTGTGTTAGGTTGGTTCGTTTGACTGGGAGGAAACACACAAACCCAAACACAGTCCAGAGAAATGGGATGGTTTTGTAAAGAAAGGAACATTAAAGTTGTGGATCCAAGTACCCCCTGAGAAAAAAGGGAAAGTACATTAGATTGACTGTATTACACAAACTAATGGGAAATAATTCTAATGAGAAGTCAAAGAGAGCGGCAAACCATCATATCCAGGAAATCTGACCACCCTTGGAGGAATTCATGTGGGAATGCGGTCATAAGTTGACAAATACGACACTGACCTTAAGCATAATTGGAGAAGACCCATTAGAGGGTCATTGTGTATAAGACTCATTAACATCTAACCAATACTCTAGGAGGAATAACAATTCTTGTGAATTGTGGAGGTAAGGACAGAGGGTCATAGACTTTTTTTTTTCTTTTGGCCAGATGAGATAATTACTTGTGGATATTCTTTTTTTCCATTCAGGAATGTCTTGCCCTGTAAGTTTTGTACCCTCAGCGTTTGACTTATCTACAAGCCTGCTGCTATATTTGTCAAAACAACCATGAAGTCTAACTTAAATTCAAATTTCACAATGCTGTATTCTTGGTCAAAGAAAGTTACATCAACAATAGGACAGAGGTCTTTCAATATATAGATGTTTGGACCGTATATACTTACACCATCTTTTGCCAGCCTTGGCTTAATGAACAAGCATCACCACCCCATAGCCTACTGCCAGCAGTTGGTCCACAAGTCACCGACTTTGATGTCTCCACATGACACCTATATTACATTACACGACTTCATTCATCAGCTCGACCTGGGAGGAATTCTCTGTTAGAGCCAGGCAGCTGGTACTTATTAAGAGATGACTTCAAATTGTCACTGCCAGCTCGAGCATGCTTCCTTTCACCTTTCCTTGCTGTGATTGCTTGTGCGAGGTAATGAAATGTCAGGTTGAATCATCTTGTTCCACAAAATTAGCCTAAATGAAAATAACCCATTTCAGTTAAAGCGTCTCATGAAGTCAGCAGTTTAATTGGAAAATGAAAACTCAATCTGCTCAGAAGATGACGTGAAATGCTCGCAGTGACAAATATGTTGCGTTAAAGGGCTTTAAGTGTTAATACCAAGGGAGAAGTTTTGAAGTTATTCCATAGTGTGGCATTTTTAAATACAACTATTTGCCAGAATAAGACCAGTGTACACACATAAGACATTTTAAAACTATCTCAACTCCCCACATTCCTGTAACATTGCAGGTTATCTTCCCCTACCCACAGTATAGATCTTGCTGTCCCCACAGGTGCACTGACCAGAATGATGAGCATTTTTGGAGTTGATCTTCACTCAGCGCAGAAGCATTCTACTGAACAGGATGTCAGCTGGAATTTACCCCCAACTGCCCCCCCCAACAAAACAAAACAAAACAAAAGACAATACAGTTTTCATTAAACATATCAGTTATCTTATTTTTGTTGGGTGGGAACCAATTCTGAGTCTGTGCTGTACAAATGATATTCTTACAAATAAAGAAAAAATAATATTAGGGTTAGCCCACATCAGTATAAAAACATATGAAAACACATCTCACTTCCCAATGATTTGCATATATATCTCAGAGGTTGTTCCTGAGTGATGCCTGACAGGAGCTTCCATGTGGTATTGAGGCAGGTTATTGGCTGGTATTTGGATGGGACTAGTCCCTTCTGGGCACCCTTGAGAATCAGGAATGTCCGGCCTTCAGTTAGCCATTCTGGGTGTCTCTAGTCTACTAGCAGCTGGTTCGTTTGTGCTGCCAGATGCTCATGGAGTGCTGGCAGCTGGCCACTGTGATGGATACTGGACCCTGTTCAGGGAGGTTGCTGTGGTGCGCTCTTAGATCCACTAACCACTGAGCATCACCATTATGGGTTTCTCACTTCTCCCATATGCTCTTCCAGGATTGCGCTGTGTCCATCCTTGGAGGAGCTGTTCTCATATTGTTCCCCTGCCACTGACAGTATATCTTGGATGGTTCAGTGAAGTACAGCTGGTTTATTCTCCTGGCCTCTATCTCTCTGGTATACCTGTTTAAGCAGCTGGTCAAGGCTGTGAGTCTTTGCTTGGCGGTTTCCAAAGTCTCAGGTATGGGCAGGTTGCTGTACTTCTTAGGCACCCCTTTCTTCATTGCACCTTTGTGAAACTCCAAAAGTTGGCTAACTTCTCTCTGAGCTACCTTGATTTTGGCCACTAGTTTCCTTCTCCATGGAGGACACTGCTACTTGTGGCTGTTCATCTTATAGCCAAGCATCTCTGGTTCACTGCTGCCATGGTGTAGTCTCGGTGATGGTTGCAGTAGGGATCTTCTGTAATGCTGCATCCACATCTTCTAGTAGACTTTCAGAGGGTACTTCACATAGTCTTGGTAATTGGCCATGGAGGGACCAGGTTTCCACCTTTGCCACAATCCTCTCTCAGGTCAGCTGATCTGGCAATCAGCGCACCGTCAGTCATACTTGGGGATTGGTACCCAATCCCAGCTCCCACTTAGTATTTGTGTTATACTTCATTGATCTCCAGTTGTGATAGCAGCTGTTTCATCCAAGTGATGAAACACTGAGCTACTAATTGTTTTGCTGTCAGTCTAGATGCTGGGTATTCCATAGGTCCCACATCCTCTTTGTGTAACCCCTTCCGCTGGAGTTACTTGGTAGTAGCATTCCAACAGTGCCCTGTTCTCATCCCACATATGCCTTCGTGTTCAAATAGCCCTCTTCTCATCAGTGTCCTGGTTCCTTGCAACCTGACGCAGACCTTGTTAATCCACACCAGTATGGTTTCAGTTAGCTCTCTATTGCGCATATCAGAGCTAGGCTTGGTTACCTGACAATGAATTCACTGTACTCAAATGGTTTCCACAGATACCAGATCTCAATCTAACAAAGCACCTTTGGGGTGTAGTAGACCAGGACCTGGATGTGCAGCTGAAACATCTGCAGCAACTGTGTGACGAGTGCTCCTCTGAATAGTGTATGTGTGAATGGTTGAATATGTACTAAAAAACACTTTGAGTGCTAAATTAGAGTACAAAAATGCTGAAAGTTTGATCTATTTGCCATTTAACCAGGCATCTATTAATTATTAACCAAAAAGCCTGCCCAGGACAGACTACAGCAATTACAATAAAGTGACCACAGCAGTCTCACAACAGTATGGTACTGAAATTGCAAGATCCAGCATTAATTGGTCTTGTGAGAGAGTGAACAGATGCATTCATTTAATGAGGATTGCAGACTCCTTCGAAAGCTGTTTACTAAGAGTGGACCTATTATGACCAATCCAGCCCCATGTTTTTCTTCTTGAATCTAACACCTATGGGAGTAGGACAGTGCTCTCTAACACCATTATCAAAACACCGGATGAAGCAACTCTGGAAGAATAGCATTAGCAGAGTAGCTGTGAATAACCCACAATTTACAACAACAATTATTTATCAGATTGCTGGTCCATCCACCGTCTGAAACAAACTGTTTTAGCTCCTTTCTCTATAAAGCCATACTACCTAAGCCAAAAAAATCAGTTTAATTGGCTGCTCCTTGCTAACATTAGGTTTGAACAATTGGTGAGTGGAGCTGCTGTGCTGACAGCCAGAGCTGTGTGCCCGAGATGATATATATTTTGGGAAGCAGAGGACGGTAAGCATAAAATAATCCTGGTCCTGCAGGTACACTTTCCATAATACAATCTTATAATAACGTTTCTTCAGTTCAATATTGTACTTGAGTGATGCAATAAAAAGAAAATCTGTTCTTTTCCTGAACTCTTTAAACTCTCAAATTGTGATGCATCAACTGACCCATAAACATGCTCTTGAGGACATGTTTTGGAATGCATTTGCTGAGTTGTCTCTGCAGAGAGAGGGGAGTTGACATGCCGTGATGGCAGAATAACCCTTCTTTGACCAGCAAACCAGCATATGGCGGGCCTCTTGCTCCTGTAGGGCTGCTTTGTGACATGAAGCGATAAAGCAGACATGGACAAATTACAGTGACTGTGTACTCACAACTTTCTCCCAACTACTGCCAATAATTAACAAAAACAAGCGTTTACACATCTTCCTGTATTGCATTATGTAAAACAAGACATGTGATGTTCAGACATTATGTCCCCTCTGGTTTCGCTAGTAAAAGATTTGCTAATACACAGCTACTGCAAATCTTTCCAGCCAAAAGACTCAAAAACCTAGATTGAGAGCTGGAAGTTTGTTCATTATCCTACTGTTATTTTTTGTTTTCATCTTTTAGTATCTGTAGTCAGACTTGTGAATCTGCCTGAAAGCAACAACCTTATGTGCTTTATCTGTAAATACATTTCTGATTCCTGCAATGTGTCTTCTTCATATTGCAATAGCTTTCTGAACTGTAAGACATTTCAACTGCTAAAACCTGCCTTCCCTCAGTTGCTCCACAAATCCCTATATAACTTCCCCAAGTGATTCATTCTACCATCCGTGAAACCCCAGACTCCTCCTTTAATAGGAAATTGCTGACGTGTGCTCAATTTTAAGTTCAGATGGACTTGATTGCCTCATAACTTAAAGTCATGCAGGGTTTCTGTGGCTCATGAAGGTGTTGTATATGTTAGATTTCTTATCTATTGAAAGTAGAAGATACAGGTACAATATATATATAGGTACAAATTCTAGATGCAAAATTTGTTTTCTAATTAATCAATTATTGGGTTATAAAAATTATAACAATTAAACACACATCACAAATCTCTATTTCTTTGCTCAGCAGGAACCGCTCGGATGTTTTAATGATTCATTATGTGTTGGTCAAGGAAAGTCGGTAAAATGGAAAATGCAAATTCTGATGTAAAAATGACTATTCTGTTACCTCCTTGTGGTCCTTTTTCCAGGGCTGACTGCCAAATTGTGTCTTAACCACACATTACACTGCACATTATATTGTTTCTAAAGATTAATATTTGTTTTATGAGATCTGGTAATAAACGCACTTCACCTTTACTTCACAGATAGACAAACAGACAGGCACACCAGGCTAAATTATAGCCGTCTGCCCGTCAGCGAGTCCTGCAGAATAAAAGTCTTTGGGTATAAGATAGGCAACAGATCTCTCTAATTGTCTGTAGTTTCCTTCCAGATTCAGCAGTGACACCCGTGCACTCTACTGGCAGATTTGATTTGGCCACTCAGTGACCTGAGTATCTGGGCTGCTCCCATCACCCCAGGGCCTCTTGAGTCATTCAGCTGTAAAATAAAATCCAGTATTTTCAGGAGGTCAGGGATTTATTGAAGTCTGTAAGGGAAAAATAAATACTGACAAGCTATCTTCTCATAAACAGATTTCTATGTAAGGCATGTAGGGCATTTCTTCTTTGACTTGGATGAATAATATCTAGGCATGTGGATTACTGAATATATCAGTTGCTTTTTAAACCCTGCTCAGGTAGTCAGAGAGAAATCAAGATGTTTCATGGATGACTTCAGCCACTAGCCAAAACTAGATACCTATTCAAATTCCAGCAGCATTGCATTTTAAAACTATAATACATTTTTATGCTTGGGAGACAGGGGAAATATATTTTAATTTACAAAGGAAAATGCGAGTTTTTTTTGCAATATATGAACTAAACTTTTTTACAATCTTATCCAGTTCAAGCATTCAGTACAAGATCTGGAAACAATGGGAAAACTTAATCTCAGCTACCCAGTGACTTTATAATTAAAATCAACATGTACAAATAAAATGAATTATTATTACATTATTTTAAAACTGCTATATTTTTTATGCATCTGCTGCATTTTGGGGGTTTAGTGAATGAATTTAGCATTTTAAAATTGCAGTATTCATATTAATCTCTACCCTGAAGTACTAGGATGTGAAATTAAAAAAACAACTTGTCCCCGTGAGATAAATAACTTCTGAACACGAGATAAAAGATTTCTCCATGGGCTCTGGAAATCTCAAATGTCAGAGCATTGGAAGCCTTAGTGATATGACTCAATTCTCTTTGAACTTTGGTAAGCAAGCACATCCCAGACTATTTTACACATAAATTGTTTCCTTAAGTCAGTCTTAAGAGCTTACCATTTAATCGTTCAGTTGATAAGTCTCAGAACCTTCTGTA